AGATCAATATTCACATAATATTCACACCAACATTTTATAAATACAAAAGAGTAGTACAATATTTGATATCTTGATTCTTAAATTACATCCTCTCTACTACTTCAAAAATTAATTTTGATTCAATCCCTCCCCATATTGACTTGATGGAAGCTTATACTGCTGTAATTTCTCTTCTTAGAACTCTTGATCAACGATATATTTCACAACTCTTTCATCGTCACACTGCTGAAACGCTCGATTCTCTTCGTGTTACAGCTGAATATTTCCAACAACTTCTCGAAAAAACTAGCAATGAAAAAATCAAATATTTGGAGGAAGAAATTAGAGTTGTTGCTAGTGAGGCAGAGGATGTTGTTGAAATGAAAATTTCTAAAATCATCAAAGGCGAAAGCTGGACATTTGGAATTTCACAACACCAGGATATGCTACCAGTTGTTGAAAAAATGAATACGATAAACGAACAAGTGATGGAGATTGTTTCTCATGATGTTGATCAAATTCTTGAATTAACCGGGGATTCCTTGATTGGCGCTTCTTCTATGAGTGATCAGATGATATCGTGGAGGGACTTGATGGTGATTTGGAGATAATAGATAAAAGATTGAGAGAATCAATGTTGGATCTAGACATTGTCACCATATCAGGTATGGCTGGCATTGGCAAAACAACACTCGCTAAAAAAGTTTATGATTATCTTCCAATCAGGTATCACTTTGACATTTTTGTTTGGGTTACAGTATCTCAAGAATTTCAATATAGAAATGTATTATTACAAGTTCTAAATTGCATTCCAAACCAAAATGCACAAGTTTATGTTAAGTTGAAAGACAATGAGTTAGCTGACCTGGTGCAAAAGAACCTAAAGGGTCCAAGATACCTTGTTGTTGTTGATGATATTTGGAGTAGGGATGTTTGGGATAGCATATCACAAATATTTCCTAATCGCAACAATGGGAGTCGAATCTTATTGACAACTAGGGAAAACGAGGTAGCGATGTATGCAAATACTAGTAGCCCTCATGAGATCAACCTCTTGGATTTAGATAACAGTTGGAAGTTACTTCGAAATAAGGTGTTTGGACTAGAACACGATCATCCTCCCTAGTTGGAAGAAATTGGAAAAAAAATAGCAGAAAAATGTCAAGGACTTCCCTTAATAATTTCAGTGATTGCAGGGCATCTCTCTAAAACGGTGCCCAAGACATTAGAAAGTTGGAAGTATGTTGCCAAAACCTTAAGTGAAATCATTGCTAGTAATCCAAATAAATGCTTAGGAGTGCTCGGTTTGAGTTACCATCACTTGCCTAATCGACTCAAACCATGCTTTCTTTCTATGGGTGATTTCCCAGAGGATTTTCAAGTTGAAACTTGGAGATTGATCCAATTATGGATTGCAGAAGGTTTCATAAGGACGTCTTCCGGAAGTCGTGAAAGCTTGGAGGAAGTGGCTGAACATTAGTTGGAGGATCTTATCAGCAAGAACTTGATAATGGCTAGAAAAAAGAGATTCAATGGCGAGGTAAAAGTATGCGGAATACATGATCTACTGCGTGAGTTCTGTTTGATAGAAGCTGAAATGACAAAGTTTATGCATGTTGTGAGAACTCCATTTTCACCAGCACAAAAGCCTAATTTTCGTCGCTTCAGTATTCAAAAGGCATTTTCAGATGTGTATGCTTATAAAGCATTACCCCCTGTAGCCAGATCTATGTACTGCTTTTCATACTTGGATCTACCTTTTGAACCCCATATTAAGCGTCTCCCTAGATTGCCCATCTACCGTCATGATCCTATAATACATGGATTTTTCTCTTGTTTCAACCATCTCAGGGTATTGGTCATCTTCCCTGCCTGGTTCGGCCCATTTCCATTTGTGATTACAAAATTATTTCATTTGAGATATCTCCAAGTTCGATATTTTGGAAATATTCCTGAATCAATCTCAGAGCTTCAAAATTTGCAAACTCTAATATATGATTGTTATTCTTCACATATGGCTTTACCCGGGAAGATATGGACGATGAAGAACTTGAGGTATATACATTTAGGGAAAGCTAGTTATACACCAAATCCTAGAATAGATAACAATCTTGTGACGGGGATGCCAAATCTAGAGGAATTTTTCAATATTTGTTACTCTAGTTGTACAAATGAAGTCTTTTCTAGAATTCCCAATCTAAAGAGATTGAGCATTTGTGCATCTTCTATAGTCAGAGAAAATATTCTCTATCGTCTCTTGGATATGTCCAGCTTGAGAAAACTTGAGGCATTCAAGCTTTACTGGAGATATATTTTGGAAAAGCCCATCAAAAGATTTGTTTTTCCAACATCACTTAGGAAGTTGATTTTAGCTTGCTGTAGTCATTTTATTTGGGAAGAGATATCATCAACTTTTATCATGTTGCCAAATCTTGAAGAGCTCAAACTTAAATATTGTCGAGCCGAAGATGATGTATGGAGATTGACTAGCAAAGACATATTCAAAAGCTTGAAGTTGTTACTGAGCGAGCTAAATCTTAAGCATTGGGAAGCTAGCAGTGTTAACTTCCCATGTTTAAAACGTCTTGTTCTGAAGAATTGCCAGGACCTGCAAGAAATTCCAACAGATTTCGGGGAAATTGGTACTTTGGAATCAATTGAGTTACATGATTGCAACACTATTTCTGAGGAATCTGCCAGAAATATCGAACAGGAACAAGAGGAAATGGGAAATAATATCCTTAAGGTCTACATCCATAACAACAACAGTAAGTTATAATTCTCTCTGAAAAGTTCTTCGATTCTTCACATTATTTAAAACCTCATTTTTATTAAATCTTACCTCTTTGAAATTAAGATGACGACTTGTACTTTTTATCTTGCTTATGCAGCGGATTGAAGCTTATTTTGAGGGATCATCTAATGCTATATATCTTCCGAATTCAGAACCGTGCAGTTCATATTTTGTTTTTATATTCTGATCATTTGTTAAATTCATGTTTTAGGAATAAACATGTTTAATACATGTCTCGGCCAATTGTGTTTTTGTATTTTTTAAATGGTAACTATTGATGTGCTGTAATATCTATTTTGTTTTCGAAATGAATAAGCATGTTCAATCTATTATGCATTGCCTATGGAGTGTAAGAATTGCTGGTTTCACACTTTGAATCTGTTTTCCTCTGTTCATGTATAATGCATGTTTTTCGTTGATGTGCTGTTCTTTATGTGATTTGAGATGCTGGATATCGATAACATTTCTAGAAACGTACACACTGGTTTTCTCTGCATTACATTCAAGCTAAGATTTTGTTGGTTACTTAGCTTTCCCATTTAACTGATCGGCATTGACATGCTTTTCCTTAGCTCTTGAATATAGTTCAATACAAGTTCAAGAAAGGAAGATGGATTAGAGACTTGGATTTGACGAATTGTGTTAAAGGGCATAGATGCCAGATGAGGCTAAGTTAAAGGGCATCGTTAAGGAACACTTTCAGGCGTTGAACTTCTTCCAACAAATTGTTAAATTCATCATTAACGCCTTTAATCAGCCCCACATTTTCACTTAATAGCTGCAACAAGTTCTCCACCAGAAAGTTCACAACTGCATCTGCCATCTCTCTTTGTCGGTTAAGAAATGTGAGAGTATATTTTAGCGCTGAGAAGTTCACTTTACAGTATAGAAATCACCAGGAGCTTCATTTTTTTAAAATTTGCCAACAAATATGAATTGAAATTTGTCACTGTTTGTTTAACATCCCGATTTCTTTCATCACGTACGATCATAATCTACCTTAACCTTGCTAATACTAGGCGATCACGTTCAAAATTTATGTATCACATTTCGAAGGAAAAAATGACAAATATACCCTCAAACTATTGTAAATGGTATGCAAATACCCTCCGTCATACTTTTGGAACATTGGTGCCCTTGCCATCCAAAAACTAGAGCATATTCTAACGGAAGACTAAATAGGGACACGTGGCACAATCTTATTTTTCAATCCGATTTTGAATAAATGTCGGATCTGTGGATAAGATTATGACATGTGTATGTCCTTTAGTATAAAAGGTATATATGCTCTAGTTTTTAGACGGCAGGGGCACCAATGTCTCAAAAGTATGACGGAGGATATCTGCATACCATTTACGATAGTTTTCGGGGTTATATCTGCATACCAGCTATAGTGAAAGCAGTTAGGCAGTTAGGATTTCAGTCATTCAATTACTATATAGCTTGTAATCAACGCATTGTACAAAATTGTTCTCTCTTCCTAAACTCTCTTCTTCTCTCTTAATTCTTCTTCTTCTTCAACTGTCTTTTCTTGAGGTTACTCCTGAAATAGTAATTCGATCCTTGAATTCATTGAGAATTCCTTTAATCGAGTAACAAAGATTGATGGTTGAAATCCTAGACAATATAGGTCGGAGTTTAATTTGTGTCGTGTTAATTTTGTTGTTTACTGCTTACTGTGTTTACCTCTGAACCAGGTTCCGTCCTAATACGAGTGGTGGGATAAGTTAGTTCTTTCATTTGGCAAACACAAAGTTTGCATGGAGTGGAATTGGAATCCCTTGAGGTTCTAAAGCTGAAAGAAAATGCATTCATGGGTGAGACTTGGAAGCTGGAGGTAGTAGATTTTATTGAACTCCAGATATTGTGGATCAAGAGGGCCGAATTAGAAACTTGGAAGGCGTAGAATCTTAACTTCATAATGTCAGGCCAATATTAGAATCCACCCCATTGTCATCCCTAAGTTTCAGCTACATATTTAAGGAAGATAATTTTCCCCGAGAAAATTTATTGGTTTTCCGATCACTAGTACTCAAGCTTACGCGAAGATGAAGGTCAAGATTTGTCTCTTGTTCTGTTTCCAACTTCCAAAAGGAGCATTTTTTTTTTGGAGGATGCAGTAGTGTCTGAAACTTCCCTATTCAAAAATGATTAACTAGAATTCATCTGAAAGCTTAGATACCAAGTTAATAAGACTTGCAATAGCGCCTTTGTTGGGAGTAACGTATCTTTCAACAAAAACAATGATAGATTAAAACAACAGTTTTACACGAATGAAACAAAGCAAATACAAAGATAACAGAATAGGAAAGATGCAAACAACAGTTTTACACAAATGAAACAAAGCAAATACAAAGATAACAGAATAGGAAAGATGCAAACAGTTTCACAACCAAGAAAAAAAAACAATTTACATAAAGGGGAACTCGAGATGCAGCAGAACTAGCCTTATTTCAAAATCACACTACTCCAGTTATTTGTCTGATGAGCTCTGGCTTCCAGCAAACTCAATGTCCAAGTTCTCTCCTGCAGAAAGGAGGAAAATTAAGAGCGGACTGCAAGTTCATAATGTAAGGAAAGAATTGATTAGTTATGGTATTCACCAGCAGGACTATTAGTGAAGACTATAATGTGGTTTTGAATGATTTAAGTATAAATGAATTCAACTGACCTTTTATATCACTGTGGAACCTTGGATTCATTTTCAGGAGGGAATATGCTTAGCTTGAGTTCCATGCTTTAGATGTCTTGCTATCCCGAACACTTTTTGCGGATTTTACTGCTTTGCTTGTGTTCTCAAGTCTCATCTCTTGAAGGCTAAGTATATCAGCCAGCTCAAGTGGCACAGCATCGAGCTCATCACAAGAGATAAGAACAAGTTGCCTAAGCACGGGGAAGTTAATAACCGAAGCCTCCCAAGATTCTAATTCTGACCTTTCAATCCACAAGACTTGGAGTGCGCTAAATCCACTCTTTGGCTTCCAGAGATCACCCGTGAATGCATTTTCTTAAACTTTAGGACCTCAAAGAGATTCCAAACGTCCCCCAATTTATCCGCCTCACTCCAAGCAAACCTTGTGTTTGTCAGAGTCAACTTCTTCACCGTACGTACCAGTTTGGAGAATGCTAGTGGAAGGTGAAGTGTTTTATTTATGAAAAGAACATCATTCAACAATTTCAAATGTTCCAGACACTGTAGCTCTTCAAGATTGTTGATACCACCCTTGTAAGCACCAAGAAAAGCCGCCATTTGCCCTTGAATGCTCAATTTTCTTACATTACAGGCCTTTGCTAGCACATCTTTCTCACAACTTTCTGGCGCAACCATAGAAAGAGTCTGTAGACAAGAAGGTTTACCTGTGGTGGTAGTCGGGGATGGCAATTTTGCAGGTATGTTGGTGTGGAGATGCCTCAACTGTAACAAGTTCCATATTTCTGCTTTTACTTCAAGAGTGGGCTCTAAGGTACTTGTATTAAGTATTAGAGTTTGTAAATTCCAGAATTTACCAAAGGTAGGAGGGAGGGCCTTAAAGTCACCTGAGATAGCAATATACCTCAAATGAAATAATTGGTTGAAGTCTTTGGAGAAAATAAACTTGAGAGATTCAACATCCAAGACTCTCATAAGTGGAAAGGCTTTGTGAATGAGTTTGATTTCATTAGGAGACAAGTCAATTGGTTTTTGTTTTGAGGAAAAACAATAGAAAGATCTGACATGTTCTGCAAAAGGTGTTTGGAGAGAAAGTCAGACAGATTAGATGGTTGAATACACAATTGACGGCAAGTATCTGGGTCCAGGGTAGATTGATCAGGTTCTTGAAAAAGCCATCTGTTACTAGCCTCCTTTTTGCAGAACTGATACAACATATCGTGAAGACGACATGTTTTTATTTGACCATCAGACCTCTTTTGCATTATTATTACTAAATTTCTGTTGAGAAGATCTGTCAAACAAAACTCTGCTATCTCCTCTAGAGTGAAGTTAGGCTGCGGCTTTATCAACCCCTCTGCTATCCACAAACGAATCAATTTCCAACAAGGGATATCAAAGCCTCGAGGAAAGACACCACAATACAAGAAGCACATCTGCACTTCTTGGGGCAAATGATCATAACTCAACTTCCCACACATCATCTAAAACAATGAGACATCTACCTCCTTTCTTGATATAACTACCTATTGCCTTAGCCAAATGTGTCCACATCGTCATTGAGATGATCTTCTATGGTTTTTTTGAAGAATTTAAGAATCCTAAGATAAATATCCTTTGCTTTGCATTCCTGACCGACGTAAACCCAAACAATGCTATAAAATTTATTTGTAAGCTTAGAATCATTATAGATTTTTCTTGCCAGTGTAGTTTTTCCAAGTCCGGGCATTCCCACAACTGGGATAATATCCACACTGTCCATCGGTCCTTCAACAAGTCGCTTGATCACTTTATTAGCTTCGTCATCAAACCCGACCACTGCATCATTCTCCAAAGAAGGACCCTTTTAAACATATGAATCACATCAGAAAACAGAATGGCTGATCTTCACAAGATATACATCTAAAGTAAGTCACATTTTATTAGAGCTGAAAGTGACTCATATATACCGCTATTGTTAAACAAATGACTCACATATACTCTTTCCTACTAACGAAAGTGAGAAAAATTAAGTTTGAATCAAAAATATTATCCATGTAGTGGTATAATTGATTATTCTCACACATTTTTTTATTTTTTATTTTTCTGATTCAATACTAATTTGAATTTATTATGTTGGTAAAATTTATTTATTTTTTACCAATTTTCTTGTAAACTTTATTATAGATGCCAAAAGAAAAATTACGGATACAAAATCTAAATTACAATAGAGCCAAAAATAAATTATTTTTAAGTTTTTTCTCTTTTTCATTCATAGTTCTTTCTTTTTATTTCTCGTATCTATACACTAAAGAATGAAAGAAAAAAAGGAAACAAAAACACGAAGTTCTAATGATATCAAAGAAGCCAAAAAAATTAAAAAATTATTGTGCAAAGGAGTGACATAGAAATTTCTATATAAAAGGTATTCCATTTCCTTTAATTTCACCTTAGCTTTTGTATTGATTATATGAATCATTAAAATTGTCCAGACTTTCCCTATCGATTTTGGCCAAAGTACCCAAAATTCGTTGATCAAATCGGACATGAATCCCACATATACACCCACACCCATGTCATGTCGACACGAGTGTGGCACCAAAAGTGAAGAGTCTGAGCAACTTAAGTGGTAAATGCTTTTTCATCATTAATCAAAGGTCTCAGGTTCAAGTTTGTCATGTAGGACATGTGCGTCTACTTGTTCAATTTTATACAAGTTGAAGTATCTATTTGTGCACACTAAAATTGAATGACAAAGTATGAGTTGAGTCCAAGTTAAAAAAATATTCTTACTCCCTCCGTTTCATGTGGTACTTTTCAGATTTTGAAATTCAAATAAATCTATCTTTGATCGTAAGTTTTTCATAAATCTTTTAAATATTTTGAATTATCAATTATTGTGACTCATAGTACTTTTTATGTAATTTATAAATATATAAATTTCATGAAAAATGAAAAGTGTCACATAAATCGACACAGAGTAAGTATTTTTTCTTATCCCAATTTCACACCACTTACCCCTTCCCCATCCCAAAAAAAAAAAGAGTCTGAGCAACTCAAGTGGTAAATACTTCCTCATCATTAATCAAAGGTCTCATGTTCAAGTTTGTCATGTAGGACACGTGTGTCTACTTGTTCAATTTTATACAAGTTGAAGTATCTATTTGTGCACACTAAAATTGAATGACAAAGTATGAGTTGAGTCCAAGTTAAAAAAATATTCTTACTCCCTCCGTTTCATGTGGTACTTTTCAGATTTTGAAATTCAAATAAATCTATCTTTGATCGTAAGTTTTTCATAAATCTTTTAAATATTTTGAATTATCAATTATTGTGACTCATAGTACTTTTTATGTAATTTATAAATATATAAATTTCATGAAAAATGAAAAGTGTCACATAAATCGACACAGAGTAAGTATTTTTTCTTATCCCAATTTCACACCACTTACCCCTTCCCCATCCCAAAAAAAAAATTCAAATCTCAAATTTTGACTTTAGGCCACACATTAGTTGTTAACAAGAAGTTTGAATTATACCTGAGTTACTTCCTCTTTTTTATGGTGCTCAATAACAGGGGTGGCCTGAAGTGCTTGATTGCTGCTACGAAGTTCTTTGACTTGATCATTTATTCCTTTAATCTCAGCAGCAAGATTCCTAACTTTAATCAGATTACGTGGCCAATCGAATATCCTTCCCATCGTATTTTTATCTTGATGCAGCTTTGCTTAAACCAGAAATTTATCAATGGCATCTTCAGCTCTGTGCACAGTTTTATGAATTTCTATCACCAAAACTTTCCACTGCTCACTATTCGTGTATCCGAATTTTGCAGCATCATCTAAAAATGCTTTGAGTTGAGCAATTTTGAGTAGATTTTCCAATTCTCCCTTTGCACCTCCAATAGCTGCAACAAATTCTCTACCAGAAAATTCACCACTGCATCTGCCATATCTCCTTTCAATTGGTTATTACAAATCTAACAAAGATATTTTTCTTTTTTTTTTCAACTATTAGCTTGTAATGTCTTTATATCACCACAGCTGTTATATATAAATAAAAATAATGTAGGGGAATATGTGTTTTTTTTTTATAAGTCTTTGTTTTGTATTCTTATTTTAAAATGTAAGTTGACTGAATTTTTAGTTTAAGTCTTTATTCTGTATTCTTATTTTAAATGGAAAATGGTCAAAAATACCTCTGAACTATTGGAAATGGATCAAAAATATCGTCCGTTTGATTTTGAGGTCAAAAATACCTTTACTGTTAGTATATTGGCTTACTTTTACCCCTCAAAACTAACAGATACCATGTCACTTAAAAAATCACATAAAACAATATTTTTTTGTTGACTTGGAAATTCAAATGGATAAACTCCCAACATGGCAGCAACAGTCCACAAGTGGGTCTAATGTGGACCAAGATGAGCCACCTTCTTTCATAGCTTCCTGTGCATTTTCTCCCAATTCTTCCTCACCATTTCTCCCTTTTCCCCTTCCATTAACTCTCTAACCATTTTCTCTATTTGTTCAGCTTCCACGAATCCTCTCACTGATCCATTTCTCGGCATGATCCTCAGTCCCACCCCAATTTCTTCTGTCACCATTCTTGCATTTAAGTGCTGCTCAGCCATAAATGGTAGTGCCAAAACAGGCACTTTAGCACATATACTTTTCAAAATAGAGTTCCATCCACAATGACTCAAAAACCCTTTGATGCTTTTGTGATTCAACACCTCATTCTGATCTACCCGTTCTTTCACTATTAATGCTCTGTTTTTTACTCTGTCCTCTAACCCTGCCAAATGCTCGATAACATTTTGTCTTGTTACCCATAAGAAACATGTGATGGATAATTCCAAGTCCCTTTGCAATTTCTTGTATTTGCTCAGCAGAAATATCTGCCTGAGTACCAAATGCTACGTACATAACAGACTGTTTTTCTGTCAATTTATTGTTTAGCCATTGCCTCCATGTTTCATCGGTTTGAGAGAGTGCTGCTTTAATGGGCCGCTTGGTTAAGCAAAGAGGCCCAACACACCATGATTTTGGTCCGAGGTGTTGGTCGGAATTGATAAAGAATAGAGAGAAGAAATCTGGTGTGGTTTTTCCTATTTTATTTATAAACTTTCGTCTTCGGTTAGGAGAACGGCAATGGCAACATCGATCTTGTAGATTACTTTCGGTTGTATTTGCGTCTCTGCATTCATTTATTTCTTTTGTGGATCCATGATTGTTCGACTACAATTTACACATTAGGTCTTTTTGTCCATTTGAATTTTCAAGTCAGTAACAAAATATTGTTTTATGTGATTTTTTAGGTGATATGGCATCTGTTAGTTTTGAGGGGTAAAAGTGAGCCAACACTAACGGTAAGGGTATTTTTTATCCCAAAATCAAACGGAGGGTATATTTGATCCATTTCCAATAGTTCAGGGTTATTTTTGAGCCTTTTCCGTATTTTAAATGCAAATAGGCCAGGGCGGACCCACGTACAACAAACGAACGAGCACCCATTAATTTTGACGTAAATTCATATATTTATAGAGAATTTTTTTTTTTCTAAAATGGTTATAGTAAAGCATTAGCCTTTAATGAATGAAAAGTTTGTTGGGTGGTTTGGTTTGGAATTGTAATGTTTTCTTCTTTTGATCCAATACAGATTCTTTATGTATTTATTTTATATTTCATTAAAAATTTTGTAATTTCTCGTGATTAAAGATCACTTTTTTTTTGTTTTTTCTTGAGAAATTTTGGCCGGTTAAGAAATCTTACAATGTTAATTTTATTTTATTTTTAGAAATGGAGAGTTTTTAACTATAACATTTAGTTGAACACTTCTACAATTATACTACTGTATAGTTTATGGTAAATTTATATTTTAAAAGCAAGCATCCACAAACTTAAAATCATAAATTCGTCAAGGGGTTTACAAGTTAAATAGTTAAGACAAATCAAACTAATGAACCAAGTCAAATAGAAGAATAAAAATTCAAATTTGTGGTTTGATTTAGTTTGTTTAGCATTGAAAGAAAAATCGACTATTGGTTTGGTTTGGTATTAATAGGTAAAAAAACTCAAGTTTCTTTATCTCCACGAGATAGTGATAAAATCTGCATACACACTACACTCCGACCTTATTTAGTGAGATTTCACTGAATATGTAATTATTATTTTGTTAATATATTTTAAATTAATTTATAATTTTCAATGCGTAGATATATTATTTCAAATTTAAGATTGTAATTATATTATTTTGTATTCAAATCGAAAGTTACAATCTACTTCATAAGTATTTTATTCACTCGAAAGTTCACCACTGTATCTGCCAGATCTCCTTTTAATTGCTTACAAATATGATAATATTGTTTATTTTTTCAACTAGTAGCTAGCAATGAGATCGTCACATCACCAAATGTGTATATAAATAATGTAGTGGAATATGTTGTAAGGCTCTGTTTGATCCCATGAAATGAAATCATGATATACAATCATATGAAATGAAGTTAAAGTTTTGGTTGGACATGTAAATTGGATTTTTATGCATTATCACAAAGTTATTCTAAAAAAAATATAATATTTATTTATTGAACTTTAGTTCACTAAAAAAAAGTAAAATTGAACTTGAGTTGTAGTGTACTATTCTTTAATAAAATAAAACATGATTAATATCATTAGTAACTATATCATTATGTTCATATTCTATGAATATTTCATCACTTTTTGGTATTCACGCAGAAAAAAATATACAGATATAAAATGGTGAAATTTTCTTTTATAAAATATAAACTTGTGGGTTAATTTTTGTATTTGAAAAATATAAAATCATGATATGAAATTCTCAAATTAATTTTTTTAAAAAAATTGGAATTTCACCGTTTGATCTAAAAACACGAGATAAAATCACTTATCCAAATACTAATTTTAAATTACGAGATAAAATTATATGTCCAAACGCTTAATAAGTTGACCGACTTTTTTTTTAGTCTTTCATCTTTTTTAATAGCGATGAGTCTTCACATCGTCATGTCCTTTTTAAATTCAAACTCATAAATGTCTACACATAACTGCAAACACTTGTCCTTTCCTTTAAATAGTAATAAATATTTTTTTATTCTTAATCAAATGTCACATATTTAAATCCTTTTAGATAAAAAGTCACATTTGTTAGAGAATATTTTATCCTTTAATATAAAAAAATTTCGATAACTAAGCTCCAATATAAAAACCATACATCGTGTGAGAAATAAAAAAAAAAAAATAGACATGTCATTTCCTTTTCTACGGATGACTCATTGCCAAAATAATGGATTACAAGTAGATATTTTAAAGAGTAACATGTGAATAGATTGAAAAATGAGATTATTGCAGTTGGTGAAGGTATGATATTTGTATTTGGCATAATACATAAATATGATCTTTAATTTGGTTTCATTTCACATTTATGTTTTCTAATTTTGAATGTGTTCAAATAAACACTTAAACTTGTACAAAGTTAAACAAATAAATACACACATCCTATCAATGTGACGAATCCAAAAATTTTATATCATGGGTGCTTAATTATTTTTAGTTTTAAAATTGTTATATAGAATGGGTGCTTAGTTAATATACTTGAATGAATTATTAGTTATTGTATACAAATAATAGTGTTTATCACAAAAAGCAATGGGTGCTTAAGCACCCATAGTCCATAACCTACACCCGCCATTGCGTTCTACGTGACACTTTATATGGTAATTTGCATCATACGTGGCGTTCTATGTGTATTATGCCACATAGAAGTCATGTGTCTATTTATTCAACTTTATACAAGTATATAATTACATATAAGTATATAGTTACATAAGTACTGAATATCATACCGAAGTATATAGTTACGTAAATAACACACACACGTATAAACTAAATATTTAGAAGTTGAAACTTTGACTACTCTATTTTGATAAAAATATATTTTAAATGTTATTGATTAACAAAATGATTTTTATTTCTACTTTCTTTTGAATATACATTTCTGATGAACATGGAATTAAAAAAATCATAGAGTACAAATTCAACGACGATGGAAATAAGGTTAAGATCACTACAACCACCCGCGTTCGAAAACTCACCAACGCTCGTCTCAGCAAACGGGCTATTGAACGTCGGGATTGGCCTAATTTCGGTGACGCTGTTCATGAGGATGTTGGAAGTAGACTCACCATGGTTTCTACTGAAGAGATCTTGCTTGAAAGACCCAGAGCCCCAGGTCACATTTCGCACATTAACATATATATGTGCAATTGTTGATATCGAAGATGTAAAATAAGTAATGTTATTGCATAAAATCCAAATGGTTTTCCTTTATTATCTCATAAACATTATCTTTCTTTTAAATTCCAATTCTTCTCAATAAATAAAGTGACTTTGTGAGATAATGATTATTGGTTTAGTCATGACCATCCAGAAATCGACTTATTAATACATAGATGAAGCTAATAGTATTGAGTTTCTGTAGTTAAATATAAATGTGAAGTGTGAATTTGTTAGTTCTCACAGTCAAGGTTTCAAGTTGCACTTCTATCATACAATCTTTTATGTGCATGCATTACATAGCCATTAAGCACATCACTTATTTTCTAAACGTCGAAGCACATGGCTGCACCATTGGTAATTCTCGTAGCTTATCCAGTTAAGTTTTTGTACCTCTAGTAACTTGAAACTTTTGCTGTACTGCGTGGAGCTCATGTCAACCACTTTCTCAAATGAAATATTCTTAGTTTTATCGTCTTCAGTGACATGGCAATCTGTTCTGTCAAAATGTTTTTTGGTAACTAAATTGATTTAATAGGTGGTGGTGAATGATGTCAGTAATTAGTATTAATACTATATAAGCAAGCACGGGCCCAACACAATTGATTATCAACACAAGTTATTTTAGTAGCACATTCAAAAGTTATCTTCATGTACTCGTACTTGGATCATAACTCATAATTACAAACTTGTGTACAAAAACTGAATAGTTAAAAATTAAATGCATATCTGTCTTGATATGAAACTATTTCAATCTGAAATCTTAGATAAACGTGGACCGAGATATGGTGCCATGTCAATTGAAGCAGTCGGTAGAATGTTATTGTCGGGTGTATTCCTGCAACACTTTAGTCATAATTCTACGGATTCTTCTTGTTTACCATGGTAAGCACTTCTTGAACTTGGTGCAATCATCTTTGCTCTAGATTACAAAGACACCTACAGTGGAAGACAATGCGACAACACTTAGGCCAGATCTATGTATGTATATTCCATGCCTTCTGAAATTATAAAGCACTTACAAAATTACAAACTATCAATTGTCATTTTCCTAGAAATAATAGTAGTAAGAATGTTATGTTTTATCCTAAGCAGTGACAAATGACACAACACATGGTCCAAATGAGTCTCTATCTTCGTTTCTTAAAATATACCTGAGATTTATGTGTCTGATAAGGGAATATTAAGTGCACAAGAGCCTCATATATTCAAATTTAAATGGGTTTGTTCCCCTTTAATTTCTATTATATCAGACGTAATTCAAATATTTACTCTTAGAAGAATTCACAACTATCGAACGTAATTCAATTTTTTACTCCTAGAAGAATTCACAACTGGAGATTATAGATTCCCGCAAGAAAAGTTTAGATGTTAGCATCATCTACTTTACATTTTGACATAACTACACAGAATTGTTATTTCGGGTAACCAATGCCAAGATCATTCACATCCCTGACATGAACATCAATTTTCAAACACGATATATGTTATCTTACAAATAAATTTGTTGATATTTAAGCATGCCACAACATTCTAACCCAAAATTTTCAAAATAACTTGAATGGAACCTACCTTGGAGAATTGTTGCAGATCATTGTTGGCATTGAGGTAGACCAAATGCTTAAAGCCTTAGACAAATCAACTTCTGCAGCACACAAATGAACATTCATACGATAACAAAAGATAGAAGGGCATATACAAACAAAAGCCCCATATACACTCAAAGCAATGTTTGTTGAAACTATAATACTCAAGCATATGACACCCATTAATTGTTCAATACCAAAACTTTGATATTTAATAAAGCCACTTTCATCCGTTTTCAGTTTAGCTTTAGATTGTATACTAACTGAATTGATTGAGATCAAAGTCCACAGATCCTGCATATTTACATGTTCTTCGGGTCACCTGCATCATCATGTTTACATTGGGCAAGATGTTTTGGCTAGTCTTGGTAAAAAACACTACATAAAGGAACCAAGGGTCAAGATAAGTACAAAAATTGAAAGAAAGGTCGAAGCAAGGTGCAAACAGGAGTACAACACGGAGCTGAAAACTACTATTTGTTACATCTCTGAGATGAATAAATCATGAAGTGTAATCTCTTTGCTAGGACTCGCAGTTTAATAAAAAGAATTTTGTAAGTGCCTCTAGTCGAACATTATATTTAAGAACCTGAAATTGAAATATTGACAGTGTCTACTGAGTAAAATTCCTATTTATGTGAGCACAAAAGATATTTTTAAGTGTACTAATCAAATTGGCAGTCGTGTATTGTTGCCTATTCTTCTTAACTATCTAATATCACAAGTATAATGAAAATAAACTTAAAACAATCGCATGCTACTAAACTGACCTCAACGTGTGGTAAATAATCAGGTCTGAGGCATGCATCAACTGAAGAGTAGTATATGTACCTGAAATTTACAACAAAAATTAAAATGAACAGATAAGAAACACCACACTCCTCTCATTCAGATAATGTTTTCCTAGTCACAAGTAACTATGCCATATGAATGCCATTGAATCATGAGCAAATTTTTGTAATATTTTTTTAAGCTAATGCTAAAACACTAATGAAGGTTATCTGCAGAAAAATTGACTGACAACTACCTTGAAGTATCTTTTATCTTGTTTGACAATTTGACTTAGCAAACAATATGTATATTATTGTCAATCTTGATCTCACATCTTGTTTTTACCTTTTGTATCTTAATGGAAGAGATTGTGTAGCTTCAGTTCCATTCTTTATTTTTTTAAGTTTCTTTACAAGCAAAATATTTTTTTGTATCGTTATATCCACCAACATTTCCAAGAAAAGAAGAGTATTGTCTTATTGTCTTTTGACATCTGCTTTTCTTTTTTAATTTTTCATGTTTCAATGATATTCTTGACAATGCAAAATTCAAATGGTAAAGGCCTAAACTCTCATATTCACCTTCCTCAAATCAGAAGAAGAAATCATAAATTGAATAGTCTGTTTACTGATACAAAAATTATTGTAGAAATCCATCCTCAATGCGAATAGTTCATGATGACACGTATTAAGAGGATTCATGGCTTACTGTTCTAGATTAGGAATGCATCTAATATTGGTTCACACCCTGAATAACAAAGAATGATTCATAGCAATACAGAAACTGAGAACAAACTAAAGCGAAGAGAATTAAGAAGATCAAGCATTAAAATAATTTGATGTAGTTCAGAAACATATTTGTAAATGGCTATTATTACAAAGATTTTTTTAAAGCCATACAAGATTACAAAGTATGGGACATAGACAAAGCTGAAAAATAGGATTGACACTTCCATCTAATTTTCAAAATGTCTTTCTTTGATATACCAGCTTAATACCAATGTATTCAAATTCACCAAGTAAACTTTAATAAAATCAGTAAGATGATAAATGAAAGCATATAGTAGTCAATTTAATATCAATGATGTTCCTGTTATTGGCACAACATACCATTATACTTGTAATCCTATTGGAATGTATAATTATTCCAACAAGATTGTCAGTAGTTGAGCTTTTGTGGAGACATCTTCTTCAACTTCAGTTTTTTCAAGCAATGCTCTACTAACAGCACTTATTTATTTTTTAATCTATTTTTATCAATTTATGATCAAACAACTATACAAAAATCAACTTCCGCATAGAAAATGAAACCTTATAACTGTAATATAAGCTACAACATCTTTATTTTACTTGTCCTTTAAGATAGTCTAGTTTATAGAAAACCTAGAAAGTGAATATTACTAATGGTATGAAGAACTTTTAATTACAAAGGCAATATCATTCATATTAATAATCTGACCACTAATATAATACGTAAATAGTACAACTGCAATTTGCATGTTAATACTAAAACATTAATACCTACAAAGTAGTTTCAAGATGAACAAAAAACAGAAGGAGATCAAAAAGACCTCTATACTTTTTTTGTTTGAGAATTAAAAACAGAACTCTATACTTGAAAGCAAATCGAGATCACACAACATCTTAATGTGTTATGCTTCTTTTTTTTCTTCAAATTATTTTAGTAGCAATATCAGAAGTGATCCATACAGAAATGAAAATACACAATACATCTTGTGTAAGAGTAATTTTGCATTCAACATCTCAACTTTATGTGAATGGCAAACAGATATACCCCTTTCAAGTATCTTTAAGCAAGGAAAGTCTTCCATTAGAATAAAATATTGACATGTTATGAACACTCAAGTTAGCAAAGCTTATTTGCTATCATATTAGCCTCTTTAAGACAGTGGCCTATTAAAAAAGTATCACAGAGTTGTAGGCTTATTTTATTTCACTTGTGGGATTACGTTCAGTATGTCGTTGTTGTACTCTCCAATAGCCATGTAATTTTCTATCTATATTACCATAGAGTTAAATTCTATGTTAACATAGTGATTCTGAATGCACCAACATAAGCTTAATATTATGCCTTCATGAGGTAATTGACTTGGTGAAATATTGCTATATTAATTCCTTCAAAGTTAGCATTACATTTTATCTTCAATATTTTCCAATATATCACAAAGGAAATGCATTGCATCATCATCTGTTGTACAATGCTTTTAGGCTTCATAAGCCATCGTTCTATAAGTCAATGCCTCATGATGGTTCCGATTTCTAACCTCATTCCACAAGAATCACAGAAAGTTTTTCATACCTACCTTGGTTGCTACCTCAATCTACATAATCGGTGCTCCATATCTTACTGTTTATGAGTTCTACAACACAACAAATAAAGGCCCATGTATATTGAATTATGGAATTACTATCAGTAGGAATTACACTAACCTCCCAGACTCCACTCATGGAATTACATTGGATATGTTGTTGTTTTTGTATATCAATAGAGATTTTATTGCACAGTAAACTCTTCATGAAAAATGAAATCTTGAATAGAAACTTCCTATGCCATATTTTTAATTAGACAAATTCTTATTGTTCCTACTACTAAATTTTTTCCTGGCCCACCACAAGTAAATTTCTCGTGACCATCATATTCTACAGGCCAAGATTTACTCAAATTAGCCGTTGCAACTTAATATAACTATAATTTAACAAAAAAAACACAAACTTCTAAAATTGATAGCCTTGAGTTGAGGAAACTATACCCAAAACAATAGATTTTGCCTAACTTTGTTATGTAGAATACAGATGAGTATTTGTGATACTTGGGAAAGTTTAAAATCAGCTACCTCCAAAGAAGATATAATTTGGTTACTATATCATAAAAAAATTATTATTTCTAGCTACTAAATTTGATTTTTATTTTTCACTCAGCTGAAACAATACTCATTTACAGTGGTAAAATCGAGAGTGTGAATAAGGAGAAGTAATACAGGGAAAGAGATGAGAGAGTCTAGGTCTCTAGACATAGGTTTAATGTGTTAGACATAGCACGTAACAGACCATTATAAACCAATGGATTAAACAGACTTACCCCGTGTGCATTGTATCAGTATTGGAAGGGCTGCAACATTGAATTGTCCTTGTGAGTCCAAATGACAGAGTTGGAGGCATGGCAGCCTTGAGGAACCACGATTTCCCGGCAGCCTTGAGGAACCACGATTCCCAGTGGCCATGTATCAATTAAAGCTCACAGTTATGTTGGCGCTGAAAGTGGCCGCTTAAAAAGTTGAAGAAGGAGAATAGAAGGTTGTTTTGTTTTGGCGAATAGCCCATGATTCTACTTCTGTTTTGGAAAAGAGAGTATGTTTCTGCATCACACATGAGTGAGCACAGTTAAAGAATTCTAATGAATAATGAAAAGACAATTGATATTAGGCATTGGCCTATAGCTGAAGATAGCTCTCAATGAACTTACTAATGAGTCGACATAAAAATTAGTTGAGTCGAGTATTAACACTAAATTACCAGAATATACTATATATTTTAAAATTTAAAAAGAATCTAAAACAAGAGAAATTACAACCATAATCTGTTCTAACTAAGAGTTTAATGTATCCTTCAACTTCAACAACCATGAAATTCAGCCACAAAAATGAAATTTTTAAAGAGAACTTGAAAAGGCAAAAAAAAATAATAATGCTGAAGATGATAGTGAAAAAAAAAAACAGAATATTTAGGAGAAAAAAAGAGGATATCTGAACTTATATGTCAGTTGAAAGGATGAAGAAAAGTGAGCATTTCTTGATATTCTGAAAGCTCCGAGGATGAAAGAGAAGGCTTTAGTCGTAAGCAAGAGAGAATGGGATACTTATAGGGTTATGATTGTAATTGGAATATCATCAAGTGAAATGAATGAAATTAGTACAAGTTCTTCATCGTTCGTGGTTTAACTCTCGAGAGGGTGCTTCTTCTTGTTGATATTTGGATCGAGTTGGGGTTTGGAGAGATTGGTGAGGAAGAAGAGAAGAGAGAGACAAAAAGAACAATCTGGAATGGGAAAGAAATAAGAGGTCGTCGTTTGCTAAAAAAATCAGGCATACCTAATTTATTTTAGGGCAAATGGTTAAATATGCCTCTGTACTATTAGAAATAGTTTAAATATATCTTTCGTTATATTTTTGGGTTAAATATATTCCTTTTGATATACTTTCGGTTTAAATATACCCCTCTCATCATACATTGACACAAATTTACCCATAATTTTAACGGAATGACACATGTCAAGCTCAGAATGAAATGACCCCCCCCCCCCTTCCAAATACCTAATTTTTTTTTTGTTGAAACCCACTCGTTTAACTGGATCCAATCCATTTTATTTTCATCTTCTTCTTCTTCTTTTTTCAATATCCAAACCTTCAAAAGCTTGTACTTTTACAATTTACAGTAGGTTTCATTTTCTTTTTTCAGATTTTGCACTACTTTTTTCATTTGATTATTTGTTTTTTGGACAGTAACAAAGACGATCCTGAATTTGGAGATTGTCATATGGTTATTCATATAATCACTGAATTTGAATGTGAAAATATTATACACAAATAAAGTTTACTATTGAGAAGCTCTGAAAGAGCTCTACTGGTATGCTTACCCATGATACCTGCTCCTTTTCCTTAAAATTTGACTTTGCTGTCGTTTAAGGTTAATGTCCTGCTCATGGCAAGACCAAACTATGAAGGAATGAATCTAGCTAATGAAAATAAACGCCCTTTTTGAAGGTTTGGGTATTGAAGAAAGAAGAAATGAAAATAAAATGATCAATTGGGTCCAGTTAAACGGGTGGGTTTCAACAAAAAAAAAAAAAAAGTATTTAGAATTGGGGCGGGTCATTTTTTTTTAGCTTGACATGTGTCCTTCCGTTAAAGTTAAGGGCAAATTTGTGTCAAAGTATGATGGGAGGGGTATATTTAAACCGAAAGTATAACGAGAGGAGTATATTTGACCCGAAAGTATAACGAGGGGTATATTTAAACTATTTCTAATAGTACAGGGGTATAATTGGTATATTTACAGGTTTGCCCTTGATCGTTATGGGCTTCATGTTTCTCTATAATAGAAAAGAAAAAGAAATATAGTGGTGACTAAGGCTGGCAAACGGACAGGACCGGATCAACAGGACCGGATCAACAAGACCGGTTTTACCGGAACCGGTCCTCGTTACCGGAACCGGGTCTTACCGGAACCGATTTTATCAGAAATTTCCAAAGGTTCCGTCCGGTCCCTTAGTTACCGGATTGGAACCGGTTTGGACCGGACCGGAACCGGTTCTTATCGGATCATTGTGTATCGGTAATTTTTTATTTTTTTTTATTAACTTTAATTATTATATAATATTATATTATTAATTAATAAAATTATATTATTAAAAAACTTCAATTTAAAACTTTAAACTTTAAAGTTACTTTAAAGTTTCAATTGAATTTAAGTTTAAACTTTAAACTTTAAAGTTTAAAATTGACTTTAAATTTTAAAGTTTATAACTTTATATTGAATTTAAAGTTTAAGATTGACTTTAAAGTTTAAAGTTTAAAGTTTATATTGAATTTAAAGTTTAAATCTTAAAATTCAATTTCATATTAAAGTTTAAACT